GATTCTACAGCAGCTTAGCCGTCTCAGTCTAACAAAGACTGTGAATTCTTAAGGTACTAACTGCAGCGTAACCTAATGCCCAGCCAGTGTTACAGGTAGGCTCTACAGGTACACTACATGGCTGCTTACCTCTGCAGAAACCCTAACCTAAGATCACAGCCACAATGATGCAATGGATGAGATGAGTGAGAGAAAGAGAAAGAAACAGGTTGACAGAGAGAGGAATGACAAAGAGAGAAGGATATGGAGAAACTGTAACTGTGCCTGTGTTAGTACGTGCATCAAACTGTGTGTGTGTGTGTGTGTGTGTGTGTGTGTGTGTGTGTGTTTTCCATGGATATTTAATGTATATGATAAATAATGAAGGCACTATAGGCAGGGTGCCAGCTACACCAGAGTCAGACTGAGACCAGCTCATGGAGGGCACCAAGAGGGCAGCAGAGGAGGAGGAAGAAGAGGAGGAGGAGGAGGAGTGGGGGAGGTTTTGTGAGAGATGCAAGCATGAAGTATCTACACTGACTGGAAGGACACCAGAACTGAGTGGTGCTTTTATCTTGGTTTTACTCGCTAAGACCACACCATAAACTGAGATGCAGAAATAGTTGTTTATTGAAATGTATGAGTGACTGGCAGATACGGCTGCGGTGTGGGGATAGCTTCGGGAAGCATTTACCTTCCGGGCTCGGTCGACCCCCAGGGAAACCGGGGAGATACAACAGATACAATATAGGAGAGAATTTATAGACATTTATAGTTTATGACACAGACACATCTGAACTTATCTACCTAAATTATCGTATTAGTTATCTGGAGCTCAAGGTTTGCCAGGGTACTGTAGCATAGACAGAATTTCACAAACAGATGCTATAGCTTACAAAGAAAGCTTAACATTGCCTCTCTATACAATATAATATGGTGGCCCTGAGAGCTTGATGCAGAGACAAAGCAGAAGGAAGGGACAATAACATCTTCACCAATTTGACAACACCTGTGCAACATATGGTGGAAAAAATATAGAAAAGTGAGAAAACAATTAAATCTATAAACGTGAAATTGAACTGCCTTACTGTGGTATGTAATGTATATGTAATATATTTAAAACTAGCACCATCTCAACCAGATGTTACATTGCTACAACATAACTGATAGGCACCATTCAGCATAGTGAGTACACTTACTGTTTTTACTGTCTGAATTCCTACCGTTGTAGAGAAGTATGAACAGATGTGTAAATGGAAATGGAGTGAGGTAATTATTGGGCGGATGGGGTCAGAGTGGATGAAGAGTTGTGAGTGTGGTTAAAGGGAGAAATGGAGGGCACACTTCATTTCTGTCACAGTGTATTTTAGAAAGGAGGTATTATTTTGTTTTGGCCCAAGGGTCATATTGTTGGATAGCGTACAGTTCTATTTTTGTGACAGGTGTGTGTGTGTGTGTGTGTTTTGGTTAGGGATTTGGCAGTTACAATACTCCAGAAGAACAGTTGCCTTAAAGCAATATGTGCACACAGCTCTCATAATTTCTATCTCTACCTCTATCTCTCCAACCTTACTCAGTGTATTCAATCTACAATATCATTGGAATGAGTGGGCGGTATGTGTGTGTGTGTGTGTGTGTGTGTGTGTGTGTGTGATATCATCGCAGTGAGTGGGTGGTGTGACCAAAAAGAGGATATTGCGTGGGAGTCAAGCACCATTGAGGTGCACATGTGTGTGTGTTAGAGACAGATTCTTTGTATTAATTATAACCCCTCTGATCAGCGGCGGTTTGACAATAGAATTAAATAGAATACAATGGAATAGTTGGTCTTCAAATATGTAAATGAGACAGTAGAGACCGCTGACAGTGAAAATATCTTATCTGATCACTGATACTAACAGTGCCTGAGACAAATATGCAGAGAGAGAAAAAAAAATCTGTGTATTCTTCTTCAGAACTGTGTTTGCCAAAGTCATGCTTTCTGACTTATTTGGCCTTACTTCCCTTACCATGAGGGTTATGTTATCTAGTAGTAAGCAGCTTTAAAAGGGCAGCAGATTGTGCCTTCTGTATATAAAATACATAGAAACATGATGTAAAGAAGGTGGCAGTCCCCGTGTCAGCTGGCCCATTGATTGGCCTGTTGAAGGTGTGGATTACCTCATAGCACTCATAAACAAACATCCTAATTTCTTGTACCAATGCATTTTTGAGCCTGATATATACTGACTGTAAGCTGTTAGTTAAGTTGCTTAAATAGAAGAAGCAGTACACTAAAAGTGAACCACAGTGGTTAAATGTTGTGAATTGGTGACACTTTGAC